TATTTTGAATACTTCTTTGCAATTTATATAAAATGGATAAGACTACATAAATTTAATAATTTAAATAATGACAAAATGTAAATTGATCAATTGTTCTTATTGAAAATTTAGAATATTGGTTGAAGAATATAGAATACTAAGGGAAGTTATATTTATCATGAATATAAGTTTGTTTTCATGAAAAAAAAAACATTTTGTTTTCCGGAAGTTTCAAGTCATTCTGAATCGTTTTACTCCGGAAAAGGAAGTGCGTGCAATCAAAATTTGGCCTTTAATTTTCTCAAAAATGGCTGCACTGATTCCAAAAATTTAAAAGCTGTTTCATGAAACTCGATAAGGACGGGTTGATTAGAATAATGCATAAAGTGCTTTATAATTAGCACATAAATGCCAAAATTTTTGAAAAAATATTAGATTTAAAGGCAATCTTGCACAAACCAATATTTTTCGTTAACCGCCATATCCGCCATGACGAAAAGAAAAGCGTCAAAGACAAGTTGTCTCTTTCTGTACTACCGAGCTGTCAAATTTAACCTTCATTTCAAGTTTAATTTCAGTTAGTTCTTCGACGAAGCTAGATCGATAAATAATCTATTTATCGTCATATCTTAAAAATTAATAATAAATTCTTAGTTATATTAAATTTAGTATTGTTGTGCCTTAGATTTAAATTTGTTATTAAGTTTATTTGTGATTGATTCGAAAACATGACGGGAGTTAAACATTTAAGTACCGGTAAGCAGATATTTATATTTGTTGAATATGATATGAGTATATATTTACCACATTTAAGTTAATTAGAGTAAAATTAAGTTGTGAATATAATTATTTTATAAATGCATTTAATTAATTAAGTATGCATCTAATTGTGTTCCATACATTGGTGAAATATTTATTGAGTGACCTACTGACACACCTACATTGTAATATATGTATATGCATTGTAAGGATTCTATTCAAAGCCCTGCACTTTTCATTGATATTCTAGTGCTTTTATTGATTTTATTTAATTATTACTCACTTAAGTAATTTCACAGTAATTTATGCAAAAGATGTTATGTGCAAGGTTATTTGTAAAAACTGGTTTTTACTGTTAAGCATTGTATGAAGCTAGATTTTATTACTGTTTTAATTTTACGTTTTACATCAGTTTTTAATTCTTTAAAAATGCTAAAAGATCACTTTATTACTTTACTTTTAGCTTGTTAAATACTTAAACACATGAAATTTTATCGATCTAGCTATTGATACCATTAAAATTATAAAACAATGAGGGCATGTATAATATATATATATATACATATATATATATATATATATATATATATATATATTTCCAATGAACATTAACACCTTTTAATTATAAAACAGCATGAGTAATTTTATTTATCAAATTTATATAAATATGATACACAATCTTATAAAAAATTGTGAATTCTTCTATATAAAACAATCTATATTATTGTTTTTCGATCACAATTAGTTATTATTTTAGAATTCCAGGAAATTTAACAATAAACAAATAGCGAATATCAAAATGACTCATTTATGTGTTAGAGAATTTTTTCTAGAAATGCTTATAAATAACTAAGAGCACTTTATAAATATATCTAACGATAGATGAAATATTTCTTTCTTACAATCATTCAAATGTTTGTTAACTTAGAATACACGACAAACTTTACTACTGCCCAGGTTAATTCAATTTTTATATTTATAGTATTTATTTATTTACATCATATTTTTTCTCAGATTCCAAACGACCAGGACCAGTTCCTGAAGGAAAATTGAGATTATATTCAATGCGGTTTTGTCCGTATGCTCAGAGAATTCATCTAGTATTGGATGCAAAAGAAATTCCATACGAAACCGTTTACATCAATTTGACAAATAAACCTACATGGTTGAAGGAAGTTAGTCCTCTTGGTTAGTACCATTTGTTTAAATTAAATACTTACATTAAATTAATATTTGATAAATAAATTGTTTTTTTATGAATGGTCATAGACATAAATTTTGGTATATAATACTACATCGAAAATATCTCTTTAATTTTCTCTCTAATAATGTATCAGAAAATATTGAGGATTATTTAATATTGTATGTTTTATTTTGGTCTTTAGTTTACATAAACAATGATTTACATATTTACTGGACAATTGCCAAAATGTTGCACTTACATGAATTATTGTTAAAAAACATGTTAATGCATTGTTCTCCTTTTTTGCAAGTAGAATGTATTTTAAATTAAACCTAAGTATTTATATACTTACTGGGATTTTTGAATTTACTGAAATGAATATATTTAAATAATTCATTTTCACCAGGAAAAGTGCCCGCTTTAGAATTGCCAAATGGAAAAGTATTGTATGAAAGTTTAATCATAGCAGATTATCTCGATGAGGAATATTCCAAAAGGCCACTTCAAGATAAAGATCCTTTAAAGAAAGCATTAGATAGAATTGTGGTCGAGAGATTCAATGAGGTAAAACTTAGTTTATTAATTTATAGATAAGCACTTTGATACATTAATTATGAATGAAATTGAAACAAATATTTACAAAAATGTATTTATTTACTGCATGAAATAGTGGATTTATTTTCTTATATCTCTTTACCATAATTAATAGTTATCATTATCTGATTATTATTATTTTCAGACAATTGGTGCAATGTTCCGCATCTTTCTCAACCAGGAAGGCCAAAGCATCACCACTGTACTAATTGGTTTGGATTACTTCGAAGCCAAATTGGTTCATAGACAACAGACTGCTAAAGATCCTGCTGCTCACTTTTTCCATGGTACCAAACCTGGTATGGTGGACTACATGATCTGGCCATGGTGTGAGCGTGCTGATCTGATGACCATTCTTGCACAGCGTAAAGTTTTTGAACTTGATTCAACCAGATATCCAGCTCTGGTAAGAGTAATAAAAACATGTTAACCAGATTAACTACTGGTTTCATAAAAATTGCAAAAAAATACTTATTCTAAGTTTATTATATAATATGCATGTCTCATAACATATTTTAAATTTTTATAGCTAAAATGGCGTTTAGCTATGATTGAAGATGAAGCTGTTAAAAAGAGTATATTATCAGCTGAAGTTCATGCAGCTTATATTCAGAGTAAACGTGATGGTGATGTGAACTACGAAATACCTTTGTGAGTGTTAATAAAAATTTTTATAATATAATGTCGTATATTTGGAATAGAACCAAAATTTTTCCAAGAAACCAGTCAGTGTTTTTTATGTATATGATTTTTTGCAGATAATTTCTTACAAAAAAGACTAGACACTATTTTTTGATACTGTATAACAGAAAGCAATTTTTACCTTTATGAAGTTTTCATGTTTCAAGTAATTCTGAACACCTAATTTTAATTTTCAGAAATCAGCCAACCAAAAAGGCCAGGATGGCTTAATCAAAATCGAATTTATGTTTTAGAATTGCACGAGAAAAATCAACATTCACACAATTCACCTTAAAGTAAACCCAGAAACTGATGATGCAAGTACTATTGAGAGAGTATACATATATTTATGTACTTAAAATGTTTAAGTTCATGCTTTATATTTTAAATTTATATGCTTTTTGTACAACGTTATGAGAAATACATAGTTTATTGAATGTACTCTATATTATTATTTACTAAAGATTCATATTTTATTGTTTTAGATATATCGCACAGTGAGTGTTAGGCATCAGCTATTATATTTAAGTAGGACTCACGATTTTAAGGTATGCTTAAGACAACTACTTATTTTTTTTATTATATTTTTATACTGTTGCCTTAATGCAAAATTAATATTTGATTTATTTAACTGAAATAATTTTTATTATATATTTTTTTTTTTTTTAGTTTAAAACTGAACTTTTTAACTCAAATTTGATAGTAGGTAGGCGATTATTTTCAACTATCTTGTTAATATGTATTTCATTTTAACTATATAGATTTAAAATTATTCAATTAAAAAAGAGTAAGACTTGTTAAAAATTACATTTCTTTAAGCTATTTTTAATATCGCAGTTGAATATAGAAGAGTATAGCTGAAATTATATCATAATGCCCTTTATTCAAGACACATGACCTTTTTTTTGGATGATGGTTATACATGTAAACTAGTGGTGCATGGCATCGTGCCTCAAGGCAAATTGCTGGAACTTTCGTAACCGAATTAAAATTTAAAAAATTCAATTATTTTCGATATTACAAACATCTTTTTTGGAAATAATTTTTTTTTTTTTTTATTTTGCCAAAAACAATCGTTTTGTCAACACAAGCAGAAAGATGTTTGAATCATTCAAATTCGGATGCTTATTTCTCTCAAAAACAGCAATTGTTTGCACATTTAGCTCCGTATCTACGAAGTGGCTGGACCTGTCTTTGCCAAAAACTAATCACCCCTTGTCCCAATAATTACAAATTGAATGTTATTTTAAATCATTCCAATCGGATTCCGTTCTCTCAAACTCGATTTCTATTTTCTGCACTTTTTGCTTTGTATCTCCGTAACGGCTGGACCTGCCTTTGCCCAAAACTAATGAGCACATCTCCCTATCAATAAGAATCGAATGTTTTTTGAACCATTCAAATCGGTTGATCCGTGCGCTTGAAAACGTGGACGAAAAATTGTATCCATATATACATACACACATCCGTTGTTTTCTGAGGTTTGCCAAAATTTTTGGCCCATTACTATAACTACCCTACGGGAAGTTAATTAAACTAACTTTAGGATAATTTACTATCATAAATCAGCCAGAATATTTCTGTCGTAGGAAAATCATTTTTACAACTAACGCAATGTTTCATATTTTCATTTTGCCATTAACATTGTTCGGGATAGCTCTTATTTGCTCCAAGGTCGTATTACGAATTTTGCTCGTATGTCGAAGCAACGATGAATTACTTTTTTAGCGGCTCGTATCTCAAGTAAGCACTCGTAAGTCGGGGTACAACAGTACTACAAGACTATTAGAATTAATTAGAATTCTTTAATTTATTACAACTTAATACTTTATTTGTTCACATAAAATATATTACATAGTATAACTCTATAGTGATTATGAGAAGGCACCGTAGAATTAATTAATTAATAGTTCACAATTGTTCCTCGACTCGTCATCATGGGCGCTGTGTTTTTCACTAAATTAAAATGTTGTGGTGGGTACTAGGATGTTTTCCTTCCTAGAAGAATCTACCGCCGGGCGCCGCCTTGGCGGGTCCTCCTGCCGAGGGTATGTGGGCGCCTTCGGCCCTGAATCCGTTTTCGTCGGCTATGTATTTCACCGTGTAGACGACTCCGTCGGGGCCCGTGTAGGAATAGGAACCTTGCATCACCTAAAAATAGGAAATATATATTGATTACCTACCAAATTAGATTTGCATTCAATTTATTAACTTCCCGAAGGAGAAGTTTATGTTTTCATCAAAAAATCCGATTGGCTAGTTTTATGTTTTCTCGACGTTTCAAGCCATTCTGAATCGGATGAGACCAAATTTGGACAAAGTGTAGTGTGTGTGTGTGTGTGAACAGATTTTTTGCCGTAAATCGACTGCTGGACCGATTTCAAAAATTTAAAAACCATTCGATGTATCTCGATGAGGACTAGCGTTTATCAATCTTTCGACGATCAGCCAAGCCGTTTCTTTGTGAATAGCATGAAAGTGAAACATATTTCGTCTATGTTTTAGCTCTCAATTCTTAATCGATTTTAAGAAATCAAAAATGTTCAAAAGATATTGGTTGGAAATGATACCGATTACTTTTTGGTAAAGATCTATCGGGACGTTTTTTTCGTAATTATGTGTTGATTTTTTTCGACGATTTTGATGATAATTTTTATAACGATAGATTTTGCAGTCTTAAATAACATACTGAAATATTATAGGCCTACGATAAGCGATTAAATTATAAAAAATCATAAAAAGTTTAGAATATCGCTGGGCCCTTTAACTATTCTAATCAGAATCTATGCAGAACCCGATATGGATGATATGTGTTAAACAAATTAATTTATTTAATATAATCACAGATATTACAAGTATGTATGAGAGACATCAATTGGAAATCGCATTGATTATTTTTTAGCAATAGCGTAAGTTTCATTTTTAAAATAAACATTGGAGCATTTTAGCTGATAAGGCAAAATGCTACTTACAATATATAGTTAATATAGTTTCAAATTTTAATTTTAAAAATGAGCATAAAAGTCCGGAGTTGCCCTAATTCTAATTTGTCAACAGAAAATACTAAAATTCAATTAAATTTTATAATTAAGTAGCTAAACATAGGCCTATAATATTTTAACACTCTCACTGCTAGCCTTGTGTTGCTTATACTTCCCCCTGTGCTAAAAATAAAACCATTCCTGTTTGTAAGAAATTTAAAGAATGTACCAAAATATAATAAATAGGACTATTTTTGTTTAAAATGTGTGTAGTAAAAATTTCAATTTAAGCATTTAATTTTACTTAAAATACTATTTTGAATTCCAAAGAACGCAAACGCATAAACTGTTATCAACAACTGTCTCACGCAACATATGCGTGCGCATCTGTGAAAGTGTTACGGAGGTGGGTTTTACTGAGGTGTTTTTTGTTTGTGCAATTGTATAATAGTTCTTGGACAAAAATTGTGATGGCGTTAGTGTTATAAAATCAACAAAATCAATGTATTTAATTTTTATTTTAAATATGGAAATATGTCAAACTACTTTAGCAAAAAATATATAACGGTTTATTTGTATAATTTGTGAAATTATTTTTCATACTAAATTGTAAGTATGTGGTTTGTGTTTTCAAAGAAGAATTTACTTTTCATTTTGGAGTTTTGGATGAAATTGGACTCTTGGATTTTTGATTTTGGATTTAAATTGGACACTAAATGGTAAGTCTGATTATTAATATTTATTGTTATCACTGATTTATATTATATTCGCACTATTTAAATGAACCAAAAAATATATTAGAAATATATATAATATATATATATATATATATATATATACTTTAACTTAAATATCATCATATAAATTTAAATTAAATTAAATATGTTTATTATACACATATTGTGTTATCATAATATATTTATTGGTATATATATAAATATATATTAATTTATTTATTTATATATAAAAGTGTGTGTCAGATTCCCTTATAAAATGAGTCAGATTTTCTTATATAATGATTACTGAATCTGTAATTAAACAATTCTTGATAAAATCAAATTCAATCACGTTCGCTTACTGCTAATTGTTTAATTACATCATTTGCTTAATTATTGATTATTTATAAAACTAATTACAAATCGCTGATTGAATTTCTAATAAGACACTTGAAATAAATAAATTCTAATAAGAATCTTCTTCGCGGCAAGGAATAAATAAATTCTAATAAGAATCTTCTTCATGGCAAGGTTGTTTAGTAAAATTATTACATTATATTATTAAATATTTAAAAACAACTGATAAATTATTTTTTAAATTTGGCTGGGATGAAATTGTATTCAATTCAATTCTTATAAAAAACTGTACTCATTTTGTGTATTAGTTAATTAGGTATTGAACAAATGTTTGGAATCAATTCAGTAAATTGTTCAGTTCAAATCAGTTTTTACAAATGTAGGAATCGTTAATTGAAGTGTTAATATTCGAATATAAAAATGAAGATTTGTTTAACTTTTTTATAAATAAATATATTATTACCTGAGCTTCTGTTTGTGGATTTCCAGCATTTTTCAAGTAACCTTGCTCTTCTACTTGAATTCCATTTCCAGTTTCATAGCTGAAACAAATTATATAATATTATCAACTTATATAATATACTTGATTAATAATTTTTTAATAAGCAAAAATATATTTAATTTTTATATCACGTTTATAAGTGAAGGAACTCGTATATTGCTATAAAATTTTGTCAAGTGAAATTCGATAGTAATAAAGTAGGAATAGTTTTTGATGAAATTTAAAAACTATTTTTAAGTATATTATTTCCAAATTTCGGGAAGTTTATGGAACTTGCCTTTAGGGGGTATTCCAGTTAAAAGCATGAATTTTATTTTTAAATCATTGTAAAAAGGGCAATATTTTTTTACTATTATTTATTTTATAATTTATTTATTACAAGAGTACAGAAGAAAAATAAAAACAAAAAAATTAATAATTTCAAAAAATAGCATTTGTTGAAATGGGGTCTCAAAAATTTGGCCCGTGACCGTGTCTACGATTGCAACCCTCCTGGTTATCCGAAATGAAAAAATAAAAAAAAATTAATTCTAGAATGATGTCGCACACATATATTTGGAGCAAAAAAAGTTTAAACAAAATGGCGACTGTTTGAAAAAAAATCTTAATAAAAAAAAACAAAAAAGTTGATAATTTTAATAATTAGCATTTGTTAAAGTGGGTGGTCTCAAAAAGTTGTCACGTGACCGTGTCTCCGATTGCAACCCTTCTGGTAATCCGAAATAAAAAATTAAAAAAGATTTTTAATCTAAAATTATGTCGCAATAGCATATACTAGTATTGAGCAAAAAAAAATTTAAACAAAATGGCGACTGTTTAAAAAAAAGAACCATATTCTTACCAATTTTTCGAGTTTCTCAAATTTTCTAAAAATAGTAAAAATTGAAATTGAAAGAAGATTCTCTGAATATTTCAAGTAGATCGGTTCTGTAGAAGTTGAGAAATCGTGTACATCGTATTGAAAAAGACATTTTTGAGAAAAAGTAAAAACGAAAAAACGATTGCAACTCTCCTGGTAATCCGAAATGGAAAAATAAAAAAGTTTTTTAATCTAAAATGATGTCGAAATGGCATATACTAGGATTAAGTTAACAAAACATTTTTAACAAAATGGCGGCTGTTTTAAAAAAAGAACATTCCTTACCAATGGTTTTCAAATTTTTCAACAGTAGTGAAAATTAAATTTGGGGATGAGAAATCGTGCACATCGTTTTGAGAAAGACAGTTTTGAGAAAAATGCATTTAAAGTTTTGCAAAAAGAAGGAAGTAGAAGAGGATTATCATAATGTATCAAATAGCTGTATCTCTGAAAATAATTATAGTTTTGAAAAATCCTCTCGTACACATATTCTAGAATATTTAAGTATTGAAAATTTGAAAAAAAAAACAAAGATATTTTTTTGAAATTTTTACACTAGAATATCTCCTTATAAGGTAAAATGCCACTAATTACTGCCTCAAAACATTCTAAGGAACTTGACTTTTCAGAATATACATTTTTTAATATTTTAGAATAAATAATGATGGTCACTATTTAAATTTTAGTAAATTTTGCCACTTCTCCATGACGAGTATATTCGTCAATCACAATTGGTAACTGGTTAAGTGATGTTCTTATTTGCGAGATTTAATCTTCTCCTTTATATTGTGAGAGGATTGCGAAATATATGTTACTACTTCAGGGCTCCATCGCCATTTCACAAATGACATTATGAATCGTGATGATATTCAATAGCAATTATTATCAGAACGACTTCAATAAGATGTTTCAGTTAAATGCTGAACGGCCGATCCTACAGGGTAAAATGAGAGCTGGTGCTAATTTTTACTCAAGGAAAAGAATCATCAGAAAATCTGATTTGCTAATTTTTGGTTTTTTGATGTTTCAAGACATTTTGATTCGAATGAGACCAAAAGTTTTTGTATTTAAGATGATTATTTACCTTTCGTCAAATTCATTCATTTTCTCAAAAACGGCTAGACCGATTTCAAAAATTTTAAAGCCATTTGATGTACGTAGCCATTCGTTATTGGAAAATTCATGCAACTTGCCTTATCGTTTTACCACTAATTTGAGTATTTGAATTTCAAATTATTACCACTTACTTGTAATTGTAGGAACCATCTGGATTAGGTTCGAATGAATACCGTAAAATTGGTATTTGGTTTCCTGGAGCCTGAGGTTGGAATCCTCCTCTTTGGGGCAGGGACGACACTAAGTAACAGCTTATTGTCAGCAGCAAACCGACCTGAAAAAATAAATAAAAAATAGATCCAATTCATCAAAATATTGATAATTTTAAATAGATAGCAATCATGACCGCATTGCCATTGATTTAATTTTAATTGTTCCCACACTCCATAGTGGCGCCACTAACTGTAGCACGTAAATTAACCACTAGGTTTAATTCTTAGATAAGATTTATATAAATTTATATTATAGAAAAGATAAACCTGAATACAAGATTTTTGATAATTATAACTAGATAAACTAAAAAAAATAATTAATAAAAAATAGATCTAATTCATCAAAATATTGATATATTCAAAAACTTATTTCGAAACTAAGTTATGTTTAAAAAGAATTTCAATACCTTTCGAGTCTTCAAAGAAAATCTATTAATTTTAAAATATTTCCCAACTAATAAATACCCAATCAATCTTTTACCCTTTTACCCATTTATTAACATTTATCAAAATGTCTTCTGAAGATTCATATTGCAATTATTTGTGGACAAACTGGTCTGCCTGAATTGCAAATCGCAAATTCCTCGATTTGCAATAAACCAGTAAATTAAATGACCATATGTTAATCCGAAGTTCAAAAGGTAATGTTTACTTGATATTATATAATATTACGAAATGAGAAATTTATTCATTCAGGGACAGCTGACATATATTTTTGTGATGGTAATTTATGTGGTTTTGTCAAATGAAGTTTATTTCATAACTTTTTGCAATATTTGTTATTTTGATTCAAAAAATTTTTAGTTTTTGTGATGAATTTTTTCTTGAAATCGAAACATTAAAAATTAATTAAAATTTAAATGAGCTTGTAATTGGACCGAGAACTTCCCGTACTGTAATAAAACCTTCGAGAAATAAAAATAATTATTACTCAATACAGATTGATCAATTATTGAAATTGATTGAACATTAGTAATGATTAAAAGAAAGTCTAATCTGTTTGAAAGCATGAGAAGGGCCTAAAGTTTTGTATAAAGTAGTTTAAGAAGAAGACTGAAGTTTTTCTCAATAAAGTGGATAAAAAAAACTGAATTCAAATAGCAATTAACATAAAAATGCATAAACCTTTAATTGTGACTTCATTACAATTTGCAGAAAAGTCAGTTAAAATTTTATGATATTTACATGCCTTTTTGTTATTTGCAAAATACTGTTTTCAAAATACACCACTCAGAGGGCAGTTGTATCTACCATTCGATAGTTTGATACAACTTCAGACGGTTTATTTTACCAATCGAAGTTCTTATCTATACAGAATAGCATTGTATGTCTATGTTTGTTAACATTATGGCGATTGTAGAAGTAATTCGTTCATTTCGTTTCTGCGTTCTGCAGAGACAAGAACAAAGGCGTGTCGACCCGGGCACCAGAAACGCACCCGGGTCGATGAGCTGCATGTTCGAGATCTCGAAGAAACCAGAACAGTGGAATTAACGCTTGTGTGTGAGTGTTGCATAATAATATTTATATTATATATAAAGTAAATTTAATTTTATTATCATTCTTACGCTTTTTATTTGTAGGGTTTTGTCCACGGTTCATGTAAATAAAATTAAATAGGAATGAAATTTAATAGCTGTACTTTTTTTAGGTCTGATTTAATTGAATTATTTATAATTGAATGCTATTTCATATACCATAAATGATTGATTTAATGTGGCCCTTATCTTAAAACATTGTCATTTATCAATGTTGATTTTTGTATATTTTTATTCCTCGAATGTTCAATTACGGTACGGAAAGTTACAGCAATTTGCCCTAAAGCGCTAGTTTCAATTAATTATCCCTATGTCCATTATTTAATTTTTATTAAAATAATCGCACAAGCAAATCAGGTTTTTAATTATCACTTATAATGAGGTGTTATTTAATAATAATAATAATGTAACGAGATAATAACCATGCACTCTTTTGATTGTTTAAGATGATAAATTACGGAATGAATTATGAATTCTAATGAAAATTAAAAAAAATATTACAGAAGAATCTTAATTAATAAAATACATTGTTGCAGATAATGAACAGAAATTAAACATTCGCTAAATTAACTTCTAATTAGAGGACGTAAAATGAATATGATGAAGTAACATATTTAAAGGAATTATTTATATTTTATATATTGCAACAAAAGTCTAGAATATATTCTACTTAATTTTTTTTATTGTTTTTTTAATTTTTTTTATTCTTGTTTTTTTTTTAATTTTTTTATGTTTTTTTATTTATTTATTTCTTTAATTTTTTTTACTAATAGTTTTTATTAAATTTTTGTTTTTCTAATTATGGGTGGGTTTTTTTTCTTATTTTTTTTTTTTTGAAATGATTTAATTTTTTTTCAACAATAACTTTTAATTACAATTACAATTATTTCATTACAATTTATATTTTTATTAACAAGTTTCTTTAATTATTTAGTTAATTTGGACACTAATTAAAATTCTAATTATTTATTTATTTTTTCGATTTTTTTATTCTATTCAATTTATATTTTTTTATATTATTTTATTTTTTTTTATTTTTTTCCTATTGTTTTTTTTATTTTTTTATGTATTTTTTTGCTAAAAGTTTTCATTAAATTTTTGCTTTTCTAATTATGGGTGGGGTTTTGCCTTATTTTTTTAAACGTTTTAATATTTTTTCAACAATAACTTTTTATTACAATTTCAATTATTTTATTACAATTTATATTTTTATTAACAAGTTTCTTAATTAAAAATTTTAATTTTAATTTTAAATTATTTTTTTTATTTTAATTTTAAATTTAGGTTCAACTTTGTTAAATTATAAAATTTATTAATTTTGTTGTTGACAAAAAGAATAAGACAAAAGTATTTAAATAAAATATTTGGATAAAACCCTTAGTGTTCGAATTTGCTTATAATTTTAAACGTTTTTTTAGAATAAACTGCAATTTTATTCTGACACTACAAAAAGTAAATAAAAAATATTATTAGGTTTTTAAAAACATGTATTACATTTTTTGAATTTTAAGTGAATAAATTGGATTCCAATTGGAAAATTATTAACTTCCCGCGAAGGAGAAGTTTGTTTTCATCAAAAAATCCGATTTGCTAATTTTATGTTTTCTCGACGTTTCAAGCCATTCTGATTCGAATGAGACCAAATTTGGAAAAAGTATGTGTGTGTGTTTCTCGAAAACGGCTGGGCCGATTTCAAAAATTTAAAAGCCATTCGATGTATCTCGTCGAGGACTATCGTTTGTCAGTTTTGTGGAACGATCGGCCGAGACGCTTCTTTATAAATAGCAGAAATGTGAAAAAAATTTCGTCGACGTTTTAGCCCGCAATTCTGAACCGATTATGAAAATTCAAAAACCGTTCGAAAGATATAGATTGGGAATCGTGTTGATTAGTTTTTGGTAGAGATCGGCCGGGCCATTTTCTTGTAATAAAGTGTTAAAAAAAGTTTTTTCGACGATTTTTATTATTATTTTTTTGACGGTAGATACTATAGTCTTCTAGATCATACTAAAATATTATGGCTCTACGACAATTGGTTTAACTTTTAAAATTCGTCAAAGTTTGCAAAAATTGGTATCATTTTTTTGGCATTTGTCAAAATTAGACCTTTCATCGACGTTTGCTCAAAAACGCCTGAATCGATTTCAGAAATTTAAAAGCCATTTGATGTATCTCAATGAGGACTATCGGTTGTCAGTTGTGTGCGACGATCTGCTAAGCCGTTTCTTTGTAATTTGAAAAAAATAGTTAGACTTTTTGTCCACATTTAAGCTCATACTACCGAATTGATTTTAAAAAATCAAAAACTGTTCGAAAGATATTAGTCGGGTATGATAATGATTAGTTTTAGGTGAAAATCTATCGAGCCGTTTTCTTGTAATTAACTGTTGAAAGAAAAATTAAGCCAATTTTTATAGTTTTTTTTGGCGATATATATTATGGTCTTACAGAACTTACTGAAATATTACGGCCTTACGACAAGTAGTTTAATTTTAAAAATTTATCAAAGTTTGGGAAAATGAATAGTTTTTTTGACGTTTGTTAAAATTAAAATTAGACGATTTACTTGGTATGGCGATAGAGTAATTGGTCTTAATGAACATACTGAACCATTAAAGTCGTACGGAAACTGGTTCAATTATAAAAATTATTGATTCGTGAAAATTTGCTTTTAGAAAATACTCGAGTTAACGTGTTTGTTCGTTTTGAATTATGTGTAATAAATCCACTCGGAATACTTGTAATCACTCATAAATTAATTAATTTATTATTGATTAAGTCGATTATTTACACATATCGGGAAGTTCATGTAACTTGCCTCAAGGCAAAATACCAATACCAACTAGTTTGAGTTTATCTTCCACGTACAAAAATATGTAAAAAAATATTAGGTTGAACCCTCAGTACGAATTTGCTCTCTAATTTGCAAAACCGAAACCACAACAATACAATAAAAATTAAAAGTAGACTACTCTCATCAGGTCTGTTTGTAATTTTAAAAAAATTGCAAAAATTTAATTCAATCGTCACACCACAAAATTCTAGCCCCAAACTAATTAATAATAAAATATACAATAATGAAACTCACAGTAATCCTTGAATCAAACATGGCACTAGCTTCTCAAAACCAACTCAAAATTCAATTACAACAATAATATTTTAATTCTTGTCCCGTCCGAGTCCTTAATCGTAATGAAGAGGATCCAGCATCGTCTTCGTAATATATGTCTCATCTGCCCGAAATGCTGAATCGCGGGCGGGGGTAGCGCTAACATAAGAAAGGTCAGGCGGGTGCCGAGGTTAGTGTTAGAACAAAATATCGAGTACTGAGTAAATATCGATACTTTACGGTCGATAGTGACTACTTTTGCTATCGATTTTTTAGTTCGATCTATTTGCCAATATCGATTCTTTTCGTCGATAGTACTCAAAAAGAATCGACAGCGTAATCTATGAACACCACTCATCAACCAACTATGAACACCACTTATTGCAACTTATGTAAACTGAAAAAATAAAATGATTTAAAGTACCTTAAATGTTTTATAAAAACATATTCAACAATCGAAGTATGATTATTTCAAATAATAATACTTACCAATTTCAATATATTAGTATTTTACATAAAAAAGAATCGAAATATTATTATTTCAAATAATAATATTCATCAATTTCAATATATTAGTATTTTGTGTTTATTATGTTTTAAAATATGAATATATATTTTTTATATACATTGAAATGGTTGAGTATTATTATTCGAAATAATATATTTCGATTCTTTTTTACGCAAAATACTAATATATTGAAATGGTTGAGTATTATTATTCGAAATAATATATTTCGATTCTTTTTTACGCAATATCAACATGCAAACATATGGGTTTGAGTTTCTCGGAACCATTTAAACTTTAAATCCCATCGCTCCGAAGGGATGTTTCTCTACAAGTGTCGAAATATTATCTTGACCGTCATTAAACTGAATGTTTATTGCTTTCCAAAGAGCTTAATATTGCACTTTTATGTAAACATGTTACGGATTTTTAAAGTTGCATGCTCGCTAAAATTATTCATATAAAAATATTCAACAATTATAAAATATTATTTTACTTAAAAATATTAAAAATATTATTGTGCTTAAAAATATTTAAAAAGTATTGCTTTTTGAATATAGTATCAGACTATTATATTGTTTTAATCAAAAATACTCAACTATTATAACTTGTCTCTTTTTTGAAAAATTATAGAATTTGAAATTAGTATTGAAAAATTACTGTAAACATTTTACAATGTTGAAAATGATTCTGATTTAACACATCAGATACAAGCAATAGAATTCATTCTAATATTGTGATATGATATTTAATGAGTTTTAGATCTTTCTTGCACTTATGTTTGATTTTGATGAAAAGTACTCAAAATTCGATATTGAGTACTATCGATACTTTCGCCACGATATTTTTTTGGCATCGATATTTTGATTAGATACTTTTTAAAGTACTCAATATCGATCTTTTGCCTCGATACTTCTAACACTAGTGCCGAGGTGCCGAAGACACCTATGCCGCCGCCGCCGTTCGCGTATCTCACGACAGAGGTCACCGAGGACCTCTTCTTCTACTGGTTTACACGGCATTTCGTACGAAGGTATATGGTATATGGATGGATAGGTGAGACGGTGAGACATACTTATTCTGGTTTATACGGCATTTAATTAGTATTAGCGGATTCGGAGACAGGTGGACGCCATGGGAGGCAGGTTTATTTGCCAATCAATATTAGGATTATTGGAGTTTTTATCATCATCATTATTTAGATCGTCGGTGATTTAAATTTTCCGAATTCAAAGTGAAACTAGTGATGTATGGCATCGTGAATCAAGGCAAATCGGTCAAACTTTCCGTACCGTAATGAAACTTGGGGATCGTTCAAATATTACGTAAGCAGATTTATTACAATTAAAGACCCCCCCATCCCCCTTGTAAGCAAAAGTAAGCAAAGCTCTTACCCCCTATCCCCATGCTTACGTAAACATTTTGCAATTAATGTATTGTTTTTTAACTTCCCGTAGGGTAAGTTATTGTAATCGTTCAAAAATCGAAATCGAAAATTATTACATTTCTCGACGTTTTGAAGGTTTCTGAACATTCTGGCATACTTCAGAAAAAATGGATGTGTGTGTGTGTATGTATGGATACAATTTTTTGTCCACGTTTTCGGGCGCACGGATCAACCGATTTAAATGTTTCAAAAAACATTCGATTCCTATTGATAGGGAGATGTGCTGATTAGTTTTTGGCAAAGGCAGGTCCAGTAGTTGCGGAGATAAAGAGCAAAGAGTGCAGAAAATAAAAATCGAGTTTTTGAGAGAACGGAGCATCCGATTTTAAAAATCAAAAAACATATTACTTGTATTGACAAGATGAACAATTGATCAAATTTTCATGAAGGCAGGTCTAGCGGTTTTAGAGATCTAATAAAAAAGGTAAAAAAAAATGCCATTTGGCGGTCAAAAATGATCATAAGACATATGCACATCAAACTATCAGATATTTTATAGAGATTTTAAAAATAAGTACATCCTATCCTATGGGTTCCGTACCAATGTTTATCCGTTAGGCGGCGACGCGGCGCTTACGCGCTTTGACATTTCGTCTCCATGCAGTTAAAGAAGTACGATTGCTTTGAAAAAAAGTTCAGAATTTCCAAAATATTTCAAAATAAATTTTTCTTCAAGTCTTTTTTTTTTTCAAAAAAAGTAAATTTTTGTCAAAAATTTATAGTTTCTCAAAAATCTAATTTTTTCAGAGTTCGAGCAATTTGCCTTAAGGCACGATACCATGCGCCCCACCATTTTATTTAGATCATAGGTGACATAATTTCCCGAATTTGAAGTGAAACGAGTAGTGCATGGCCTTGTGCCTTAAAACAAATTGCTTGAACTTTCCGTACCGTAATGAAACTTGATCAAGCGAAATTAGAATGAACTTATTTCATATTTCTAAAAATTATATAAACTGAATTGCAAAGTTAAAATTATTTATTGCACGCATATAAATGAAAATAGAATTCTAACATGAGTTAAAATTGAAATTTGAATCACATTTGATAAAATTAAATTCTTTTTAGAATAATTTTTTTTTGGAATTTTGAAAAAAACTGTATTCATAAAAAAATAATCGTTTCGTCGCGAGCGAAAAACGTCGGCGAAAAATTGTATCGACACATACATACACACACATATATCAATTTTTTTCTATGATGTTTTGAGTGCCGCATAGAGGTTCGGTGAAATTATGACCATTTTTCAGCACTGAAAATCAAGACTTATTTATTGACCTTAAGGTCAAACCATCACCCCTTTTCGGCTCGACTTCGAGTTCTCGGGCACCGTGTATATATATATATATATATATATATATATATATATAAACCCTATGTGGCATTTCTCACCTATGTGTTTAATTTGTGCATTTGCGATAATCAGCGAACGCCCCGACAATTAGAGTTCGATGGAAGTATTTGACATTACATGTTATAAACAGAGAGCTAGATATTGATATTGACTTTTAAAATTTTACATCTATAAGATTTAAATTTTTGATACTTGATTATACTACTTGTTATATTTACTACATATTACTTATTCACTTGTTATATGAGCTATATTGGTATTTAGTTATGACTTTCGATTTTTTTCAAATACTTTCTACAATTTTTAAAAGCTCCACAAAGCTTTACACTTTATTACAAAATTTCAATTAAAACAGATATGCACTTTTGATATTTTTTAGCAATTGTTTATTTTTTTAATTTTGAAATTGAATTTTTTTAAAAACAATGAATTTTTTGAAATTTCTGAAAAAATTTTATTATGTGAAAAAATCAAACATTTTCATTTCTGCAATATATTTATCTTATTTATAATATAGTTTCTAAATATTATATAATTCATAGAAATATAAGGACCTCAAAACAAAATCATTCATTTTGAGTGGATTAGGTTTTGTTTATATATGTTTTTGTGAGCTTATAAGAATGTTGCCCAAATAAAAACACTTATTTATATTAAAGATCTATATAAAACATGAAAGATAAAATTTACGGTATTTAACCCTTGGGACTCGGATGCCGGCGGCATAATTCATATAAATCTCTGAATTCGCGAGTGGAAAGTGTTAAAATATTTTTTTGATAATATTTAAAACAAACGTTATCAATCATAATTATTTATTTTTAATATTTAATTACGGTGAAAAAAGTTTCAGCAATTTACCATAAAGACCCAATGCCGTGCACTTCTAGTCTTCTGTTCAATTTGAATAATTTTCCATCAGCTCTCGTACTATAGATTATCTAATAATCTGTTGAAAAGTGTCAGGTCGCCTGAACTTTGTTTCTGTCGAGAACATCTCTTGGCCTTTTAGCCCATAATGAAAGAATATCACATTCCTGAAGAAAAATTAGATAGATTTATTAATACCTTTTAATGGTAATAGAAATTTTCAGTAAAAATTCCAATAGCCCCTGGTATTTGATCAAATCCTATCTTATAATACTAAAAAAAGATCCATTCAGAAGACATTTTGCATGGCATATATTAATTTATTAAATTGAAGTAATTATTTAAATAATTGGTTAATTCAGTTAGGCAAATAAAATCGTGAATAAATTATTTTATAATTAAATGTTTTTCCAGACATTTGTTTATAGATTTCTATAATTTATTGTGTCGACTTAATAATATAATAATTGGTGATGTGTAAAGCTGATTATAAACAATGACTAATTAATCAATTTGCATACAATTATCGCAGTTTATATCCAATTTATTTAGCATAAATAACTACAATATATTATTTATATTTAGCATAAATAACATTATATTCCTTTGTTAATACATTATTGGATAATAAGATCTAAGCCGGAGATAAATCATTTAATGAACAAATATTAGATAAATACAATTAACAATCACCAATAATTTTTTTGGTACCTTATATTCTTATTTTTATAATAATTTTATAATAATTATCATTTTTTTATAAGTTTCTTTAATGCTTTCCTTTGAAACATAAAATGTGCTATAATTTTGTCACTGTTATTAAGTTATTTCTCAAAATTTTGTATTATTATTATTTTTATTAATTTATTTCACTTAAGGCAAGCTATATAGTAATCGCAAAAATGAATATTTTTGCATGTCTTTAGGTTTCAACAATTTCTAA